TCTCAGTTCTTTGGTGCCTTGGAGCCTCAGCTATACACCAGGCCTCCCTGGAGTGGGAAGGAACCAATCTCCACTTGGAGCAGACATCACCTCCCTGTGAACTCCCAAAGGGCAGGAGGCCAAGTCCCAGCCGAGGTCAGATGAAGTAGCACGGCCATGATGGGACTCCACGTGGTCCTTCTGGTCCTTGGCACAGGCCTTCCAACTCAGGCATCTGCCCTTCAACAATGATGCCCTCCTCACTGGACAAAAGAAGACTTACCTGGCGAAAGCAGAGCAGATGGGCCTCGTGGGGGGAGGCGGGGGAGTGGGGTGGGTCGGTGGTGAGGGTGGCTTAAGTCTTAAACTCTGAGCCAACAGACAAGGAAAGCAGTCTTTGGACTTTTCATTAAGCTCCAGAGGCCTGGCCTGGAGCGGCCGTAAAACTTCTTTCCCAGAGGCTTTTCCTCCTGCCTGTCAGCTCCAAGTCAGCCTCCAGCACCCTTTTGACATGTCACCTCCCGGAAAGCCTTCCTTCACTGACCTGCCCCCTCTGAGAGCCCCCACTCCCAGACAGAAGAAGCCATGCCCTATTCTGGGTCAGGCTCCACTGGGCTCCACAGGGCCCGCCCAAGAGGATGCCAATGTTAAACAGCAGCTGTCACAAGCTGGGCAGAGCGAGCTGTCTCTGCCTGCCTGAGGCCCCAGCAGACAGCCAGGCAGATATCTGATGTCTGCCGGATGCGCACCTGACAAACTCCACCAGGGAGTGTCCAGGGACTAATGTGTCTTATACACCATTGCAGTCCCCAAACCTCATAGGCTTTTGTTGGACAGTTGATCAATGGACAGGGGTGTGTGTGTCTGTGTGTGTGTGTAATAGGACATCTCTGGGTGTGGGAGTATGGAACAAACTTTAAAAGACAAGCTTTCCAGTATTGTATACAAATGTTACAGAACAGGATACAAGAGAAGAATGGCTATAATTTATGAAGCACTATGGGGAAGAGGAGGTGGAGAGATTCGAGGAGCCAGAGGGGATCGTGACCAATTAGGAAATAGTGTTTTCCAGATACAGGAGGACTAATGCACATATGAACTCACAGAGCTTGTGACGGCATGGGCAAGGCCTGCACAGGTCCAAGCTAGACAGGGTCCAGCACCCAGAGAGGGATGTGCACAGGAGCACCATCATAACCAAGAAGCTATCTCCAACTTACAACCTCTGACAAAGGAAAAAATGAGCTTTCTCCAGCGGAGTCTCACTGGGTATACAAACCACACTTATGGGTAGGTCCTATGCCCAGCAATAGACAGCCAACAGAAAAGAAAGTCAATAATATTTTTGTAGATTTTTTAAAATCACATATTGTTTTGTTTGGGCATTTTTTTTTGTCTTATCGGTCTTTTGCTTGGATAGTACGGTTTTCGATTTTGTGTTTTTATAGGTTTCATTTTTGTATATGTGTATGTGTCTGTGTTTCTTGTGGGTTTTTTCTTGTTTCTTCTTTGTGTTTGTTTGCCTGTTTATTTTCTAAAGTAAGAGAGAAAGAAAGGGCATGAAGTTGGGTGGGTGGGGAGGTGGAGTATCTGGGAGGAGCAGGGAGAGAGGAACCTGTGATCAGAATATATTGTGTGAAAAAAAATCAATATATATGTGTGTATGTGTGAATTTTCTGTCCAGTATGGCATTATTATATTGCCAGCTGCAAAACAAAATCCATTCATGATGGCCTGGGCATGTGCCTCAGTTGGTAGATCACTTGCCTTGCAAGAGGACCTGAGTTTAAGTCCTAGGGTCCATGTAAAAAGCCAGGCCAAGGCTGGGCAGTGGTGGTACATGTACTCGGGAGGCAGAGGCAGGCAGATCTCTGAGTTCTGAGTTCAAGGCCAGCCTGGTCTACAGAGCAAGTTCCAGGACATCCAGGACTACACAGAGAAACCCTGTCTTGAAACACCCCCCGCTTAAAAAAGCCAGACAAGGGGTTACACAGTTCTAATGCCAGCACTGGGTAGTCTTGGGCTCACTAGACAGCTAGTCAAGCTGAATTGGTGAGCTCCAGGCCAGTGAGAGGTTCTGCCCCAAAGGCAGTGAACAGCATTCCTGAGGATAACACCAGAATACTATCTCTGGCCTACACACACACACACACACACACACACACACACACACACACACACACACACACACACACTCACACACTCACTCACTCACTCACACATGTGTGTATTAAAATAAATAAATAAATAAAGACATATAGGGCCAGCGAGACGGCTCAACAGGTAAAGGCACTTGCTGCACAAGCCTGAGGACCTGAGTTCAATCCCCAGAACCCTCCAGATACACACTTGTGCCCATACATCACCCCCCACACACAGCATGATAATAATCAACAGAAAATACAAGAAGAAGATTGCATTGCAGCCTTGTCCATCCAGATTTGCCTGCTCTCAGCAGGGTGAGGGTCGTATGCAGACAGGAAAATGGCCCCAGTTCTCTGAGAATTAATAAGTACCTCATATCTGCTTTCATTTTCCCCTTTTTTCCTGTCACAAAATCATCTTTTAAATAATACTGGACAAATATTTTAAAACAATGAGCCCATGGATAGACCATCCACTCTGGGAAGCCCCTGGCCCAGCAATTATGGGAAACACAGGAAGTAGAAAGGTCACAGTCTATGGGGGAAATCCCACTGTTTGATGATGGGTCCAGCTTCAGAGAACACGACCTATTTAAAAAAAAATCTTTGTGTGTGCATATGTGTGTTCATGGACGTGAGCACAGTGTGTGTGGAGGTCAGGGGAGCTCGGGCATCAGTTCTTGACTTCCACCGTGTTTGAGACAGCTGTCCCTTTTCTGGGGTGTGTGACAGGCTAGCTGGCCCCTGAGCTTCCAAAGGTCACCTGTCACTGCTCCCATCTCACCCTACCAGCACTGGGATTACAGATGCTGGCTGCTGCATCCAGTGTTGGGGGTGGGTTCTGGGGATCTGAACTTAGGTTGCCGGGAAGTGCTTTACCCAATGAGCCATCTCCCCAGCCCACATGGCCCATTTTTCTTTTTAAGTAGCACTCCAAAGGGTCACACAGTTTAATGTAGACTCCTTCCTCCTCCTTCCTCCCCTTCCTTTGTTCACCTGACATCTGAACAGAGAAGGTTCTGAACAGACGTATCTTTGATGGGGTGGGCCAGGAAGAGCCTCTTGGACGCTACGAGAGGTTAATCAGAATTCAAATCATTCCATTTTGTTGTTGTTCTCAAGACAGGGTCTGGTGCAGCTGAGGATGACCTTGAACTTCTGATCCTCCTGCCTCCGCTTCCTGAGTGCTGAGATGACAGGCACACACCACCACACCCAATTTCTGCAGTGCTGGGGATGGAACCCAGGGCTTCAGGCATGCTGGTAAGCGCTCTTCCCATTGAGCTACAGACATGCTTAGCCTTCGACACTCATTTTTAAAGCTAGTGAGTTTTCTGTTGGGGTGGAGTTCAGGGGTAGGCCACGTCCACCCGCCTAGTGTATGAAAAGCCTTGGGCTGATCAACAGCACCATGAGTATCGTCAGAAATGCAGAGCTCAGCTCCTGTGAGGAATTTAATGGTACTTTATGAAATCCCAAGAAGAAATCCAGAAACCAGTGCTCTCTGTCCAAAGGCCACCTGCAACCCGAGCTCCCTGGCAATGACCTATGAATGTCAGGTGACAGGCAGAGTGCCTCTCAGCGGGCCCTGTCCCCAGGCCTACAACATTCTGAACCCCAAGGAACAGAGAGATAAGAGGTATAGCCTGTGCTACACTGCCTGACTCAGGAACACAACTGGAGTGGCCATGCTCTTTAACATTTCACCCCTGACAGATGGCTCTGGGTCCCACAGAGGCGCAGGCGGCCTCTTAGAGTCTTCCATCAAAGAAACAGGGACATCAGATGGGAGGAGGAGAGAGGGATGAGGGATGTGGGATGACAGGACCTCCCTCCCTATGAAGATCTCAGGCCTGCCTGCCAGCACCAAGGAGCATCCCTAGGGATGGAGGAAAGTTCCAGGCCATGGCTGAGACCATAGATTTCAGGCTTTCATGAACTCCAGGTGTGCTGGCTGCATTTGAACGTCTGTCTCCGTGAAGATGGAGCCAGACACTTCTACTTTCTCCCCAGCCTCAAGCTGGGTCTTCAGCCCTCCTTTTTCACCTCTTCTGGGGACCGGGACTTCCCAGGCAGTTATATGCTGCCTTTCTTCCCTGGGCTGAGTGCCCGTTCCACAGAAGACTGAACTGAGCGCAGGGTTGGGAGCGTCTGTCACAAGATTCCAGTGGCAGAGCTGGGTGATTCATCCTGACACCCACCCACTCAAGGTCTTCCCTGTGGTTGGAAGATGAGATAGAGCCCTATCAGAGAGATGTGAGTGGATAGCAGGGCATTATGCTGAGAAGCCCAAGGGTAGAGTCAAGTCCATGACTCTAGCCTCAGCCCCTGCCCCTTACAAGCAGACCTGGCCAGCTCTTCACTTAGCCCAGGTCACTATCTTCACATAGCCCTGTCATTTTAACTGTCGTCACCCAGCCATGGTCCCCTTAACCTGACTCTGACGAACCAATCCATCATGGCCTTGTGAACTACGTGGCACGTGTCCTGATGTTGACCACACTGCCATTCACTCACCTCTGCCCCATGCTTCTTCTTCCCTCAGTGAGTGTGCAGTTCACAACTGAATGGTTCTTGCTCTCTGGGCGAGATACTCACTATGCCACAGGGCCGAATGAATGAATAGTAGGCTATTTCTGGTGCCTGGGTGTGCAAACCCTTCGCCACAGCCCAGCTCACTTTGAGCCTTGGAGTCATGCTTATCCTCCAAGTACCATCATGAATCTAGGCTGGGCAGCCACTAGTGATAAGACAGTGTGTGTGTGTGTGTGTGTGTGTGTGTGTGTGTGTGTGTGTGTGTGTGTGTGTGTTGGGGGGACAGTAGAGACCTGGTGGCTGGGCCTAGGGCCTCCTTTGGCTCTTCTGCAGACCTTCTTGTTACTGTGACAAAAACTCCTGAAGCGAGTTCAGAAAGGAAGAGTTTATTTCAGCTCACAGTCCCAGGGCACAGTCTGTCAAGGTAGGAAAGGCACGGTGCCAGGAATGTGAGGCGGCTGGTCACATCGCATCGGAAGTCAGGAAGCAGAGAGCAATGTATGCTGGTGTTCAGCTTGCTTTCTCTTTTTTATTCCGTCTTGGGATTATCACATTCAGGGTGGGTCTTCCTCACTCAGTGAAACCTTTCTAGAGGCATCCTCAGAGACACACCCAAAAGTGTGTTTCCATGGTGATTCTAAATCCAGTAAAACTGACGACGAAGGTTAAATAGCATGTCTCCTTCCTTCCTTCCCAGGAAGACCCTATAATGCCAGGGTTGCCCTGACACATATGCGCTCCTTTGGCACAGGCTCTGTGGCTTGGTGGCCTGAGAGGCCATTTCTGCCCACAGGACCTGGTGCAGGGAGACTTACCGTCTGAGGACAAGATTATCTGTGTCAGGATCCCAGATCTAGGAGGATTGTACTTTGCCTTAGGGCGGGCCCTGCCCTTGCTCAGGAAGAAAGTGGGTGGCCTCGGAGGGTGTGCAGCTGGAAGCAGAGAAGGGCTGGGGTTTGAGCTTGGAAGATGCCACACGTCAAATGAGACAGCCCACCTGTCTCATTTGGCCATACCCTGGCAAGAGAAGAAGCCAAGGCCATCCTGCCCACCATGAACTTGAGGTAGGGAGGGAAGCCTTCTGATGAGTGAAATGAGGCAGCTGCTCCCTCCTGGGGCCTTCATTCTCAGGCTCTCACCTGGGCCTGTGGGGGTGGGGACTCGGGAAAGAGGCAGGTGACAATCCCCCCAGGAGAGGTGACAGCCCCGAGGTGGGAGCCGCCACCGCCACCTGAGAGTGGGTGAGGAGCAGGTTAGCTGGGTGAAAAGTTCGCTGCGAGGGGAGCTGTCTGTTTCCTTTTCTTAATTTATCCACTATTTGGCTAACCTCACTCTGAACCCAGGCCCGAGACCCCTCGACTCTCTCCCCCGCCTCCCCACTGGGCTCCTGGGCCGCCACTAACCCTCAGCCTGCCTGTGGCCAGGCAGGGACACGCTGGCCTTGAAGCAGCCTGAGGCCGACAGGCTGCCTGGGGGAGAGGCCTGCTGCCTGGCCGGCAGTTATTTATGACTGAGGTCTTCTCCCTATCCTTAGTAACCAAAGTCCAGTTGCCGTGAGGTCTGGGGCCCCAAAGGCCAGACATCCACTAAGCCATACAAGATGTCCCGCCTGTGGCCTTCACCAAATACACAACAGCACCCGAGACAGTGACCTTTCATTCAGGGCCATCTGTCATCCTGGCCTAGGGCTGCAGCTGGACACATGGACCTGGTGTCAGACAGAAGACCAGCCTCCTTCCCCAGCCCTGGGATAACGTCTGTGACGTCCATCTCTCCTTGTTGCTCAGAGTAGACCCTGTAAACTCATCTTTACCCCAGTACCTCTTGCTCTCTCTCCCTCTCCACCCCCTTGTTTTTATTTTATTCTATTTATTCGCAGTGTGCTGTTAGTATGTGCATGCCACAGCACACATGTGGAGGTCAGAGGACAACTTGTGGGAGTTGGTTTTCTTTCCCTCATGTAGGATCTGGGGATTGAACTCAGGTAGTCAGGTTTGGTAGCAAGAGCTTCACCCTAAATCATCCTGCTGGCCCGGCCCTTGTTGTCTGCATGCATGAAAGGGGGAATGTGCGATCCTGGCAGTAGTGACCCTTCTTCACCCAGCCTGTGACAAGGAGACAGGCTGGGGAGCTGAGACAGAACCTTTGGTCTCCTCCTTATTGGCAGAACAGCCCCGATCACTCTGCCCCTGCAGCCTGTGCGGTCAACCCCGGTACTCACTTTCTATGACAGCTAACCTTGGCTGCCAGCTTGACACAACCACGAAGAGAAAACTTCCTTTGAAGACCTGCCGCCATCAGATCGGCCTCGAGCCATGTCTGGGCAGCATTTTCTTGACTGCCAATTGGTGTGAGAGGGTCCAGACCACTGTGGGCAGTGCCCTCCCCTGGGCAGCTGGGCCTGGGCTATAAGAAAGGTAAACATGAGCCAGGGAGCTCCTCTGTGGTCACTGCTTCGATTCCTGCTTGAGCCCCCGCCCTGATCCCCTCAGTGATGGACTGTGGCCTGGTAGTGTAAAGCTTTCGGTCATGGTGTTTCTCACAGTAACGAGCCAACTAGGACACCTTCCCGCCTCATTTCATACTCCCATTGAGATCTGTCTGGCAGCTCCGACAGTCACATTCCCAGCAAGCAGGAGAATAAAGATACATAAAGAACAAATTGTCCCCTCCTCATCACCTTTGGGCCTCAGAGGCCTTTCCTGGATGTTCTGCTTGGACTTGTGGGTGCACAGGTGCATGTGGTCAGAGCATAGCTTGTTATGGTAGTAATTAGGACCTCACAGGCATAGGGTACACACCCCTTGGTAGCCAAAAAGTGATATAAAGAATGCTTTGTCTGTGTATGTGTATGGTATATGTGTTTGTATGAATATATGTGTATGCATGTGTGTGGAGGCCAGAGGTCAACATTGGGTGTTGTCTTAGGGTTTCTATTGCTGTGAAGAGAGATACCATAACCATGGCAACTCTTATAAGGAAGACATTTCATTGGGACTGGCTTACAGTTCAGAGGTTCAGTCCATTCTCATCATAGCAGGAAGCATGTGGCACCCAGGCAGACATGGTGCTGGAGAGGTAGCTGAGAGTTCTACATCTGGATTGGCAGGCAGTGGGAAAAGCTAGAGACACTGGGCCTGGCTTGGGTTTCTGAAAACCTCAAAGTCCACCCCCAGTGACACACTTCCTTCAACAAGGCCACACCCACTCCAACAAGGCCACACCTCCTAATAACGCACTCCCTGTGGGCCTAATGGGGGCTGTTTTCATTCAGACCACCACAGGTATCATCCACAGTCATTCTCCACCTTAGTTTTTGAAACAGTCTCTCACCTAACCTGGAGTTTATTGAGTTGGCCAGGCTGGCTGACCAGGGAGCCCCAGGGATCCTCCAGTCTCAGCCTCCCCTCACTGCTGCTGGCTGAGGTCCTCACGCTTGTACAGCAAGCCCTTTACTACCTGGGTCATGTCCTCTGTCTCCCAAAATGGTTTTTGAGATGAGGCTGGCTTTGAACTCACAACGCTTCTGTGGCAAGGCAATTAAAGGCAAGTACCCCCACACCTAGCCAGTCATTTTTTTTTAAAATAGCTGCATGCTATTCCAAATCTGGGTGAACTGGGATTTTTTCTTGTTTACTTCGCAGTGAGGTAGGAGATACAGCAAGTCCTAAGCACAGGGCTCAGTCCACGTCACAAGGGTGACTGCCATTCAGATCATCATGGTAAATATCCCCAGTCCTTAAAGACTTCCCCTTCCCTTCCCGCCTCTAGCCATCCCAATCCCAAAGATGATTAATCACTAGACTATGTTTCAAACTTCCTACGAATTGAATCATGCCAAGAGAAGTCTTTCATCTCTGGTTTCTCATTTGTTTTCAGCACTGTGTAATATTCCACCACAGGAATGTTAACTAGAGCCTGTCTATGCTATAACAGATGGAAATGCGCATAGTTTTCAGTGTCTCCCCCAAACACAACACAGCAATAAGTATCTTTCTGCAAACCTCGGTGTGTGCCAGAACTTTTGTGTCTAGAGACTCCGTATGTCCATTTGGTGACAAGAACAAAGGTTTCTTTTGTATGCTTGTCCTAGAGATTTTTTTTTCCATTCTGTAAGATCATTCAGCAGAATTTATGGAGCTTTTGTTGTCTGGGATGACTCAGAAAGGGCCTATTCTATGGGCAATGGTGAGCCATGGAGGGTTCTAAGCAGAGAGTCATGTGTTCAAATCTGTATTCTGGAAAGAATTTCTGAGATGCATGGTGGAGGTACTCAGGTGAGTCAGAGGACTCAGCTGTGGGGAGGGCTGGACGATGTGGAGAAGAGCTGAGGGGACTCAGTGAGAGACACAGCTCAGGGGACAAGTTCTCACCTCACCTCAGGGTCTTTAGTTATAGCAGGGTGGCCCCATCTCAGTAGCCATGTGGTATCAAAGGGAAGGCAGCTTCAGAGGTTCAGCTCTACATGGACAAACACTACTTCCTTTTCCTGTGTGTGTGTGTGTGTGTGTGTGTGTGTGTCTGCCTTATGGCCACTCCCTGAATCCTGAGCTCTCTGTCAGACAGGGTTTCCAGGCCATCACAAGGACAGGTAGGAAAGGGACCTTGTGGGAAGGGGTGCATGCTGCACACAGAGGCACCTGGGAATTGCCCCATTTTTCTCTTCCTAGAAGCAGGGTCTAAAGCTCCTCTGAGGGGCTCTATTCTCCACAAGAGTCATGAACCAGACAACCCTGATCATCTTACCCACCCCTGGCTTCTGCCTCCCTCTAGCTACCCAGCTGTGGGATCCTTTTCCTCCCTCAGCCTTGTTCTCAGCCTGGCTCTTAGGGCAGACGAGCTGGGCCACATCCATGATGCTGGTGTACGGTAGTCTCATGTAATCCTGTCTGGTTTTAGCCCAGTCCTGCCCCAGGTCACCTCCCTCTACTAAAGTTTCCTCGCAGTCAGTTTTGGAATCTAGAAGGCCTTCTCTAGGGAACAGTTTTGGTCATCTTCCCATCCCTATCTCGTTCTCTAAGACATGGCAGATGGTTCCACATCCCTCTCAGGGTCCACTGTGTCCCCTCAGTTGGTCTCCACCTGTGGACCTGGTCCTCTCTCCAGCTGTTCCGACCTTTTCCTTCTTCCATGGAGCTTCTCTGCCTCGGCACCTCTGTCTCTCTGCCTGCCTGTTCCCCCTACCCTCATATTTTGGAGGTCTTCTCCATCCCACATCCTAACAGAGGGTCATTTTCAAGGCTGGCCTCTGCCCCAGGAACAAAAATCTCAGAGAAGATGAATAAGCCCAAGTCACTTACACCAAATGAGGAAGATAAATCAGGGCTCTTCCCAGCATTTCCTGATTCCTCCTACTCAGGGCCTGTGGTGGCCCATGGCTCCCAGAAGACACTGCAGGCCCCACAGAGCCTCTTGTCCTGCCTGGCAGGGGCACTCACTACCAAATAAGGGCAAGACACTTTAGAGCCCGCACAGCCTCCTCTCTGGGCAGTAGGGAAAGCTGTTCCCAGTGCCACCAGTGGACTGGAAGCCACATGGCAGTCTGGGGGTGGGTAGTGAGGGAGTCTCTCACTCCTCGGGGCAGTGATGATGGGCTGACAGACAGGCTGGGGCTACTGCCAAGCACCACACTGCCAACTGCCCACCAGGATGCTAACTGATGCCCGTCCTCAGGAGCCTGCCAACTGCCAGTCAGACCAAGACCTGGGAACGCCAGACTGCATGTCAGGACCTCAGCCAACTGTCACTCCCAAGGCCCAGGGGCAAGTCAGGGGTCCCACCACTGGTCATCCTGATGACAGCTACTGATTAGGCTACCTAGCATCCTGTCACCCTTTCCCTGGCAAGGAACTCACCATCTCCAACTCTCAGTCTGTGGGCTCCAGGACTGATTTGCTTCTTGGCTGCAAGGGACAGAGCATCCTCTGACTGCTATCATTGGTTTATATGTGGACAAGGGACTCAACCCAAGCCCGCTGTAACCCCTGAGAATTAAGCCTGGGTAACTAACATCTTGCTTTTCCTAAGGTCCTTGAACCTGGGAGAGGGCGTATGCGGCTGGAGCTGAAGCAGCCTTCTTGCCATCAGGAGAGTAAGAGCGTTGAGAGGACCCAGTTCAAACACATGGAAAGGAAGAAGACAGAGAGGCTGCTGTGTCTCAGGTCCTGGAGTCAGCCATTCCTGAAACAAGTTACCACTGGGCTTTCTCCTGTGAACCAACAAACCTTGCCCTTTGCCAAGCAGGGATGGCTGTGAATGGTGCCAGCCATCAGGGGATTTTTCCGCTGTCGATAGAGGGGGCACTATCTGCGGGCCAGGGCCCAGTTCTTGAATTTCTGTCTGAAAGGGTTAGGCAAGCCTCACTGGCTGTGGCAGCTGGTGTCTGGGCACAAGCCAGATGCTGCCTTGCTTTGGCTCAGAGGCTGAGAATTGGAATCGGGTCCCTCTCTGTGCCTTGGTGGCACCTGGCAGTATTGGGACTCGGGGTGACAGCAGCGCAGTGTCTGCCAAGTTCCCCAGTCTGGTTTTGAACTCCTCACATTCCTTGCTAAGTGTGTGAGTCTGTGCCTGTCCCACCAGACACACCGTGACTCACTGCTGTTATTACAAGGTGAACAGGATACACGTTTATTAATGGATGTTTACTAGTGGAGAGGATGGTAGTTCATTATTTGTATTTCTCTTTTGATTTTCCCCTCAGTGACTGTGGTGGACAGGGCTACTGGCTCCATCCTTCAGATGGGGAAACGAAGGCTTAGGAAGGTGAATTCAGGTTAGTGTGAAAGTCAAGGTCCCACTCAACCAAGAGTCTCAGCCAGACTCGGCCCTGCCCTGCCTCCTTCCCAGGCTCTCAGCTGATCGGGAGGGACAGCCAGGCCGGCTTCTCTTCATTCAGCATCCCACACAGAACAGACAGCAGGTTAGTAAGTTCTAACATAGTCAAGAAGGGTGGGCTGGGCTAGACCCTCGCCTGCCCACCCCCAGCAAAAAGCCACTTGGACGCCAGTGTGGCACTTGGGATTCGCAACCTCTCCTCACGCTCACTCGGTGGAGCAAGAGGCTCACAAGCCCAGAGCCAGGTCCTCCCACCTCTCCCTCTCTGGGGTTTTGCCCAGACCCGAGTCACCTTCCCGGGCAGGATCCAATTACATCCCAGCAGCAGCCTGGGATTGAGCACAGCGTGAGTCTTCTTCAAATCCTTCTCTCCTTTGTCTTGTGAGCCTTGAAAAATGAAAGGAATGATAAGGATTTGGGGGGGGGGTTGCTAGAAAATTCTGCGGATACTGGGTAACTCATCGGGAAAGAAGCATGGAGGCCCGCAGTAGAGACCTTTTGGAGGATTAGGGATCCCAGCCTGGAACAGAGAGAGGCTCATGCTCCTGGATCCGCTAGCCTCCTGGGGGACAGGCCACTAAAGCTTCCTGGACCTCAGTTTCCACAGCTGTATGCAGCAACTGAGGCTGACTCCCTGTCCTTTTTGGATTTTGAGACAGGGCGTCTCGGTATAGCTCTGGCTGTCCTGGAACTCACTATATAGGTCAGGCTGGCCCCAAATTTACAGAGCTCTGCCTGCTTCTGCCTCCTGAGTGCTGGCATTGAGGGTGTGGGTTTTTGAGACCTCAAAGGCTATTCTCAGTGTCACCCGCCCTGCCCACCCCTCCAGCAAGGACACACCTCTTAATCCTTCTCGAACTGTTCCTCTAACTGGGGGCCAGGCATCCAAACCTGAGAGCCTATGGGGGCCGTTCTCATTCAAGCCTCCACACTCCCACAGCCCTGAGTTGTTGCAAGAAGAAACAAGTGACCTGAAGACCAAATGCTCCCAAACAGGGTGACTCAGCTCCCTGGAAGACATCCTATAAAGTCCAGGGGCCGTTTTTTATTGGCACAACTGCGAGAGTCGGCTAGTGGGTGAAGACAGGGTGCTGTCAGGTGCCCTACAGAGCCCAGGACCACCCTGCCAGTGACCCTGTCCACAAAGTCAGCAGTACCGGGACGAAGTCTTGAACGTTTAGCAACGCGCTGTGGCTTTTCTTGCTCAGGGGCGCCACCTGGACGCAGAAGGGACAGTGATTAGGAGAATAGGGTATACTAGGAGGAAGGTTAGGCTTCCATATTGGCAGCCATGGATGAAGAGTCTGTTTGTGCCAGATGCTCTGCCCTCACAGTGTCGGGTCTTGAGGAAGCAAGTAGAGCGCGCAGATATTAAATGTCCATCAACTGTGATGGAGAGATAAGCTGTGGTCTAGTCATGTACTGGAAGATTTGGGCTATCAAAAGGAGGTGGAATTGTTTGACATCTTCCTTTCCTTTTTGTATCTGCGTGTACATATGTGTATTCATTTCTATTTCTTGCTTTATTAACTAAGAACTCAAGTCCTATCCTGAACAGAGGCAGAAAGAGGATGTCTTCTCTTGCTCCTAATTTTGGGTGAATGCTCTCAGTTCTTCTCCATTTAGTATAATGTAATCCAGAGGTTTGTTGTATACAAACTTCATACTGAAAGGTTCTCAAGCTATCTCCAGTCTCTTCTGATTTTATTGTGAAGGGATATTGAATTTTATCAGACCTTTTCAGCATCTATTGAGAAGGTCATGCGATTTTTCATCTTGATTCTGTCTATATACAGGTCTTTCTTTTTGGAAAAAAAGAAGATTTTATTTTTTAAAATTATGTAAATATGTGTATGTATGTTTGTGGGTTTGTGTATGTGAGTCCAGGTACCCACGGAGACCAGTTCTGAAAAATATATTACAGGTTATTAGCTCACACAGCTTGAGTTTGACTCTTATCTCAATAAAGCTAAATGGTGTGTACTGACTGTTCTGGCAGAAGCTCCACCTGAGCCCCTGGCGTCCATATACTCAGAGTCTGGGATTTTTAGGTGGAAGCCCCACCTCTCTCTCTTTCCAGCCCCTGCCCCATTCCAGAAAGCCTGCCATCTGTGGAGATGCCCGGGACCACAACTACCGGCTATTTGAGACCCGGCCCAGAGATCTGCCACGTGTGCTCTCCTGTTCTGTCTCCTGCCTTCCTGAGGGCCACCGGGAGTGCTCTGCTTTGCATTGCCCTGTTTATTAAATCTGGATTTATTAATTCGGTTTGATTTGGCTTATTCCATCGCCTGTGGAGAAATCCAGCAACCAAGATTCAAAATTTATCACTGACCGGACAGCCTCCTGGGTCAGGACAAGCCACCAATGTCAGTGTGATGGCTATTCTTGGTTGTCAACTTGACTCCATCTGGAATTAACTAAAACTCAAGTGGCTGAGTACACCTGTAAGGGATTTTTTCTTAATTAAATCATTTGAAGTGGAAAGACTCACTTTTAATCTGGATCTTTTGAGGAGGGAAGATCCACTTTTAATCTGTTGGCAACCTATATAAGGGACATGGAAGAAGGAAGCCCCCTCCCTTCCTCCCTCCTTCCCCTCCCCCCCTCTTTCTGCCTGCTTGCCCTCATCCTTGCTGGAAAGTCCATTCCTTGATTGGCATTAGAGCCTGCTTCTTCAGGATTCTGGTGTATACTGAAGACCAGCTGAGACATCCAGCCTCACGGACTGAACATCTACTGGAGTTTTGGATCTTCCATTGGTAGGCAGCCATTGTTGGACTAGCTGGGCCACAGACTGTAAGTCATTCTAATAAATCATATGTATATATGGGTCTTCTGAGTATCAGCTTATCACACCATAGTCAGAGTCAGCCATGCCTCAAAGGATGTCACCACCACAGGCCAGGCCAAGGCAAGTGACACCTTTCATTCTGCTGGGGACTCCATAACTGCCCTCCCATGAGGCCTCTCTTCACCCCTGTACCATTACCCATGATGGGGTCTTCTGAGTATCAGCTTATCACACCATAGTCAGAGCCAGCCATGACTTGAAGGATGTCACCACCAGAAGCCAGGCCAAGGCAGTGAGTGATCCAGGTATCCTGAGGGGCCATCAGGTCATAAATATCATGTCACCGCTTTAACTTTATTGTGCCTTCCTAAGCTCAGTCCACACTGGATAGTTACTCAGCACCAAGAGATAGAAGGAAGGACAGGAGAGATGGTATGACAGAGGAAATGGCTGAGCCCAGACTGGATCCCAAAGGTATGGATTTCTTCCTGTAATACTGAATGGTAATGCTATCAAGGAGAACCTAGAATCACCAGGGAGGAAGGCCCTTGAGCATGCCTGTGGGAAACTGTCTGATGTGGAAAGAGCCATCTTAATTGTGGGCAGGACCACCCCCTAGGCAGGAGATCCTGGCCTGTTTGAGATCGCGGGTGAGCTGAGCCCTAGCATGCTTGCATTCATGGCTCTGACTGCAGACATGACCTGACCAGCTGCTTTGTTGAGCTCTGGCTTCCTCAACCTCCCCAGCATGATGGCTGTCCCTTGAGCTGTGAACCCAAGCAAACCCTTCCTTCCATGAGTTGCTCCTGTCAGAGTATTTTATTAGAGCAACAGGACAGAGACTAAGGCAGCCTCCCCTTCCCTCAGATCCCAGGGCTTCCCACTTCCCGAAGAGCTTTCTGGATTCAGGGTTGGCCCGAGAAGGCTGGGAGAGTTGGGGTGCGCTTCTGAGCCCTGGCTCTGCTTGGAGGGGTGGGGCTGAAGGCCTCAGGGACTGAGAGAGCTGGAGAGCTGGGGCTTTGAACAGATGAGGCATAGTGGCCCTTGAGAATGTGAAGAACTAACTTAGTCCCGCTCTGTACAGCCCTCCCATGTAGGCACAGGTGGAGTCAAGTGTGTCCGTTGTAAAAATGTTTTACACTGTTCCATTTATTGTGTGTGGTGTGCACATGTGTGTGTGCATGGGGTACATGTAGAGGTCAGAGAATAATCTGAGGGAATTGGTTCTCTCCTTCTACTATATGGATCTCAGGGATCTAACTTGGGTCATCAGGCTTGTTAGTAAGTGTCCTTCTCTCTGGCCCCTAATCAATGTTTTTTATTATGTACCGTGTCCTGCCTGCATGCCTTCACACCAGAAGAGGGCACCAGATGTCATTACAGATGGTTGTGAGCCACCATGTGGTTGCTGGGAATTGAACTCAGGACCTCTGGAAGAACAGCTACTGCTCTTAACCTCTGAGCCATCTCTCCAGCCCCTAATCAATGTTTTTTGATTGTGGTTTTGATACAGGGTTTCCCGTATCCCAGGCTGACTTCAAGCTCTTTATGTAGCTGAGGATAGCCTTGAACTTTTGATTCTCTTGCTTCTATCTCTCAAGTGCTAGAAATAAAAGCATGTACCCAGCCGGGTTTTTGCGGTATTGGGGCTCAAGCCCAGGGCTAGACAAGACTCCACCAACTGAACCACACTCCAAGACCCGAGGAATGTTTGGGAACTTAGTAAGCTGTGTCTGGGAGCAGGTCCAGCCCTTCCTTCTGCGTCAGCAGATATTTGTCGCCTTTTGGCTTTGCCTGAAGCGAGGGGTGTGTGTAGAGAAGACCTCTGGGCTCTTAATTCTGTCCCAAACCCTGAGAATCAGAAAGATGCTCTTCAGGGGAGGGGTCCCACATGGGCCATGGTCTCCCCTCTCCTTTCCCAGCCACCAGCTGTTCTTTGAGGACCTCAGCTCCTGTGCCTTGTGGCCTGAGTTCTTTTTGTCTTCCATAGGATAGGAACATCTCAAAGGTGAAAGCTGCCTCTCCTGGGAAGGGGCTCTCAGGTAGGACGGGTAGGGGCCCAGTAGCGGCTCCTGGAGTCAGCTCTGGAGCTTTCTGTTTACCTGGTCCCTTTAGATATCAGCTTGTTTCTGGGAGAGTCAGTTTCTCAAGTATTCGGTCCCTGGGAACTACTGGTGCCCACAGGACTGAATTCCTGACCACTGGTCCAGCCAGCCAGCCTGCTCCCCTGGACCAGGGCCAGTCGGGGCTGAGGTCTGAGGCCTCCCTGGACTTGGCACCTACCCCCGATCTGCTTCTCTCTGGGGTTGGGGAGGAACCTTCAGCCTGGCAACTGGGTCATTTCCCAGGACCCAAGGCTTCTTTGCAAGGTTGGCACAGCCTGTTACGCCCCTCAGGGGGCTGGCGTTGTCACCCTCCTTCACTTGGACAAGCAAAGGGACAGAATTAGCTCTCCACTCTCACTCTTGAAGCTCTCCAGGCAGTCAAACCATTCCAGTGAGGGACCAGAGAGGTTTCCTGGGAATATGCCCAAGGCCTTTTCCCTGGTTCCTCTGGGAAGCAATCCAAAAAAAAAAAAAAAAAAGCGGGGTGCTGGTTGTGTGTGTTGTTGTGGGAGGACCAGGCTCTATGCTACCACCGAGAGAAACCATTTGCATTTTGTGAAACCCAGAGATCACCCTGTAATCAAGGCAGTGATCATGCTTGGTAGGTCTTGGGAAAGGTTGACTGGGCATTGCTGATCCCAGCATCCCATCATATTCCCCTGGGATCCTCACTGCATTTCTCGTTTAAAGGCCAATGGAGACCCCAATGATCAAAGCATCTTCCAAAGATCGGCCTGCAGGCGGGCCATGAGCACAGAAACACATCAGCTGCTTAGAGATGGTCTGGGAAACTGAGTCTCAGCAGGCAAGACCCCACCTTGCCCCACCCACTTCTCTCTGTTCGCCAAGATGGACCCATCCCCAGTCTCTCTCCTGGAAGAGCCAGCCACAGGCACCTGCCTGGGAGATTGTCCAGACACCACAGGGGGCTGAAGCAGGTAGTAACATCCCACACATTGGAGTCACCTGTCCTCAAGGGCCAAAAGGAAGATGATGGATGAGCCGACCTTGACTCCTTGTTGCTTGAAACTGTCTGGTGTCATGAAAAACCAGGAGTCAGAGCTGTGCTCAAATTCTGATCCAGGTCAAGCCCACATCCTGCTCTGAATGCTCTTCACATCTGTGGAACAAGCTTCCAAATGCTCCCTTTGGAAGGGTGCTTGGGAAGAGAGCCAGGCATCTGCCTCCACAGGGATTGCTCAGCACCAACATGGGCTCCTGGGCTACTACATCCTTGAGTTGGCTTCTCTCCATCCCTGGCTTCAGTTCTAACTTTTCCTCATGAGGTCTTCTTCCACGGCTTGGCAGACCATGTGCTCATTGTATTCAGCATCCCAGGATCTTTGGCAGGCATGATCACATGACCGGATCTGGCCAGTAAAATGGGAACGGAAGTGACACACACTATTTCCAGGGAGAACTCAAGAGGGCGTGATGCTGGTGGACCAACTTACATTTACTCCCTGGGACACTTCCATCTTGGGTAGTGGGTACCCAGAGGGAAGATGTTTTCATGAATAAGTTGAGGTTGCAGGGCAGACACCTTCCCTGTTGGAGGCCATGGTGATCTGGGGGTCATATCTGGCTGATACTCACCGCCAAGTGGTTAGACTGTTCAAAGTGGTCACTCTGAGCTGTGTTTTGGTTTGGTTTGGTTTTTGTCTTCAGGAGCTGCAGGGAGAGCTGGTGACTGACACAGTGCAAACACTATGTCTTAGGTCGGCAACGCCCTAAGCATACTAAGTCAGTACTCCACAAGACACCTAGGGTTTCCCTTGCGGACCAGTCTGCTTTCACTTGAGTGATTTCATTCTCCTTGTTGTGAGTGTGAGCTCAGGTCCAGCCTGAGGTGCTCAGGTCTATGTGGCCTTGGTGAGGCTTTCAAGGAGGCTCCCCACTATGTCAGAGGCCTGGGCCCTTCTCCTTCTCTCTGGGGAACCCCTGCCTGCTCCCTGCCGCTCACCTGCAAAAGCTGTACAGATGGATGCTACTCCTAGCAGGTCACATTGCTCCTTGCTCCACACTGACCAGTGTCATTGACTGAATTTTCTCAGCATGAGAGTCGCATTAGAGAACCATGGGCGCCTCTACCCTTGCCTGAAGCCACCCCAGCTCCTTCCATTCTCTGGGCTTTCCCATCCCCCACAGTTAGATGTGCTGTGGGGTCTGTAGCACCCCACAGTGCTGGCCTAAGTGACGAACGGTATGGTTTGCTGGTATCATCTTGGCTTCTTCACGTGGGGTGGACAGCAGGTACTCGGTAAAGGCTGACTTTAAGCTGGTGGCCCAGTGGGGTCAAGGAAGGACAGACAGTGTTCTAGCTGTGGTGAGTTCTTCTGTGGACTAGCTCTCAGGGATCCCACCAGGGAAGCCGTGTGTCTGGAGGGGCCTCCCCGACCCTCTCTCCTTGGGCTGGGCTGCAGTCCCTCTCCTGCTCTCTGTAGACCCTGAGATGACCCTTTTTCTCTCTTTGTGGTTGGGACAGGCTCCTTCCCAGCTGCCCCCCTCCCAAGGATGTGAACAAAGGAAGCTGCCAAAGCCACCTCTTTATTTGAGTTACTGCCGGGTAACCAGTTTGCAGGAGCTGAGGGTGAGCGGGTTTTGGAGGGGAAGGCAGAGTGTCTGGGGGCAGACTCTCCTGGAAATCCTAGGTGCACACTGCTCAGGCGGGCCAGACTGGAGAAGCAATTGAACAATAAACCCTACAGAATGAGAAATGTACAAAATTGTCAGGTGGCTGCTGAATGGCGTCTTGGCTCCCCATGGGGGTCAGAGTTAACACACATCAGTCCTGCACAAAGGTCCTGGAGTTGACCTGGGAGCCGCAGATTCTTCCCTGGGGACAGGAACAGTCCTGCTCACCCAGCAGACATGCCAATCACAGGCACATCGGTGTGTGCCCGGGTATTGTGGCTCCCCTCAGGCTCCGTGGCTCCTCAGGTGTGTCTTCCTCCTGCTTCTATGTCCTCCCCTTAAAGGTGTTCATACAGGTGTAAGTCCCTGAGAACCTGTGGATCTCCTCCAGTGCAGCCTGTGGGAGTATGCTGAGGGGGGGAAGGGCAGATGGTTAGTCAGGTGGGCAGCAGTGGTGGGGTCCGTGGGGCAATGCCAAACAGGGTAGTACACAACGGTTTTAGAAGCTCTCCTGTCTCCCCTGCAACCCATACACTGGCTTCCCTTCCAAAAACAGCACCTGAACTCCAAGAATTAGCACTTTCATTAGGTAAAGGGTCAAGCATAGGAAAACAGACGGACTGTGCTCTCAGCATTTGGTGCGCCTTCAATGTGTTCCGGCCCTTCCAAGATGCAAGCTGAAACTTGACTGTCTTTGTGGTGAGACAGAAGTGGCTGGGGCGTGAGGGAATCCACCCAGTCATGGATTAGTGGACAGTCTGAGTGACTCTACTACTAAAGCAAGCTCCCTGGGCATACTTGCTCTGTCCTGTATTGGGGGAACCTCTCCATCCTGTCATGAGGCAGCAGGAAGGCCCTTGCCAGATGCTATGCCATGCTCTCAGCCTCCAGAACCCCAAGACACATGCACTTCTGTGGGGTTTTTTTTAGTCGTTTTATTTTTAATTATGTGGATGTATGGATGCCAGTTTGTACACTTGAGTGCAGTTGCTTACTGAGACCAGAAGAAGGCATTAGATCCCCTGAAACCGGAGTTAACAGGAGGTTGTAAGCTGCCTGATGTGAGTGCTGGGAACTGAACTCTGATCTTCTGCAAGAACAGCAAGTGTTTTTTTAACTGCTGGCCATCTCTCTGGCCCTCTTTTAAAGAAATCAATCTCTTTGTCTGTCTGTCTGTCTGTCTCTGTGTGTATGCTCTCATCCTGCAGTGCACACATGAAGGTCAGACATGGTGTTGGGGATCAAATTCAGATTCTCATGCTCACATAGAAAGTACTTTTCCATCTGAGCCATTCCCCCCAGCAGGGTGCCTGTTCTTTCAGGGGATCCCTCAGGCAGTCAGAGAACATCGTGGATTGAAGGGCAGGGTATGTGAATGGGCATGTGGATTGAAGGGCAGGGTAAGCTGGGGTATGTGAATGCTCCAAATGCCCCCTCTCCTGCTCTCCACTCTCCACCCTCTGCGTGCACAGAGGTTATCAGAATGGAAGACAAAGGGCCGGTTGCCATTGTTCCCTGAGTCACACAAGGGTGTGGCTTTCCTGGGAGTCAATGTTTGATGATAACAACAGGGTGAGCCTGGAACAAGGGGCTGTACTTCATGACAAGCAGGAGCCACAGTCATGGCTACAGGGACACAGCTCTCCCTCTATGGAGAGCACACTGAGCCACATGTACTAACTAGCCCCTTCAGCATGGGACCCAGATGTAATGAGTCTAGACAGTCTTAGGTGGATTCAGTCCTGGGAAAATTCTAGAGGAGAAAATATCTCCAGAATGAAAAGCCCACCTCCCAAGGTGGTCTTTAAACCCCACCTCACTAGAGCTCTGACACTTCTCCAGACTCTGGACCTTTGCATGAAGACTCCTGTTGTCACCAGACTGAGCTACCTGGGGGCTGGGCTATGCCTGACTGTCTGCAGAGCAGTGGTTCTTAAAAATGTGGTCCAGGCACTCTTGGAGGTGCCTGAGATCTCTCTAGGATATTTATAGTAACACTGCAGTAGCTTGTTTTTCTCTTTCTTCCTTTCGGTCTTCCCTTCCTGTTTTCTTTTTTCTCCCTCTCTTTCTCGGCAGGGTCTTTAAAAAAAATATCACCCGGGCTAGCCTCAAACTGACTATGTAGCTGGGGCTAACCTCACACTTCTGATCCTCCTGCCTCTACCTCCCACATGCAGGGATTACCGGCAGGAACCACCACACCTGGTTTATGCAGCACTGAGGACCGATCCCAGGGCTTCATACATGCCAGGCAGGCTCTCTACCCACCGAGCCACATCCCAGGCCCATCATTTGTCTTTTATCCTTTATTTCTCTGTACGTGCAGTGCAGCTTCCCTGAGGTTTGTTACAGGGGACTATCCCAATTGACTGAACTAAGAAGCAGATGTAGGAATCTAGTTGTTTCAGATTAAACCAGACGATGGAGAGATTTGCAAGAACGTAAGCCAGTGCCTCCCCTAGCTACGTGTCTGTGTTGTTTTAGAAAGTAGAACTGCTTGTCACAAAAATAGATTTAGGAGTTGAGGCTAGATTGGGATACCTAGTGAGAGGCTGTCTAAAAAAACTAAAAAAGGCAAGCAAACAAACAAGACAGTTATGATAATTTAATAGTTGTTATTGTTCTTTATAAGTGAGAAAACTGTAACTAGAAACTAGTGTGTAAATCTAACTTCCCCTCCCAGCTTTAATTTCTAATGAAGTAAGTAGTGACAGATAAAACTCACATGAGCAAGAGCTGTTTGGATCCCTTATAATTTTTAAACCAGGCACAGTAGTGCATGCTTATAATACCAATACTAGAGAGACAGGAGAATTACAAGTTCAAGGCCAGCTTTGGCTTCATAGTATGTTCCAGATAAGCCTGAGCTACAGTGGGCTCTGCCTCAAAAATATTAAAAAAACAAAAAACAAAAAACAAACTTTAGACCAACAAGTCTGCATTACCGGTCAGTACAGTCAACCTCCTGCCCTCAGCAGACATGACTACTTGATTTCACATTCACTTTCTCCTGCCTGTTGCCTTTTCCCCACTAGGGCCCACTGGAGTAAAGGAAAAAGTTGGACCTGAACCTGGTGAAGAACTCTCTTTCCCCATCCCATACCTTTTCAAGATAATGAGGATGTTCATGGTCCACGGGAGCAAGAGAAGGGCCTGGTTTTGTTGAACGGCTTCCACCGTCCTCCGGGCTACTGTCTCTGGCTTCAACGGCGGGAAGAGGTTGGGAAACCTGAAGGCAGGAAAATACTGGTTTCTCAAGGAGAAATTGGCCTTTCTGCCAGGCACCTTGGTGAGTGACTAATGTTTCTGAGGGCATCACTTTGGCTCTTCTGTGTGAGGGACTCGAGGCTGTGGGATTCTCTCCTAGTCCATGCCTGTTAGCGTCCCTCCATCCTGCCCCACCATGTGAGTGGAGTCTGCCCACTAGCAGGGGTATCTCTGACAGAATCAAGGAATTAGGAGTCCACCCTGCCAGGCTCATTCTCCAAAATCTGCCAGGGCTCCTGGCACTCACACTGGACTTCCTCCACACTCTACAGCATGGGCCAGCCCTCAGTCTTTCTTACTGTACCATCTTTCCTCATCAGCCATTCCCACAGCCTGCTCACTCCTCCTAGGTCCTCCCCTGAGAGATTGTCCAGCCTCCCACAGTGCAGGGTGGCCTCCGATCTTACCTCCTGTCTAGCTGCCTAACCACAACCACATCTAGAATGACCTGGCCTGTCAGGTTGTTCTTTGCCAATGGCCTGTCTCCTCCATCAGGTTATGAGTTCTCTGAGGGAGGAGGCCCAATGAATCTCACTCCTTGTTGCAGCCTCAGCATTTAGTAGGACCTGGTACACAGTAGGTGCTCAATAAATACTTGTCGTTTTGCCCCACTCCTCTACTGGGCCTTTCTGCCTGGGGAGGTCCTCAGGCTGCTGGTTCACTAGCCTGTCAGTCAAACATAGAGTGGTTTTCCATGGGACTTCCAGATGAACAAGCCGTCAAATACTCACACAACAGGGGCTTCCCATGCCTATTCAGAGGCATCTGACCCCAGACCTGTGTACCCATTGTGTTCCCTAAGTATCGGGCCCATGCACAAATATTCTCTCCAATTTATGGATAAGGAAGGCGGGGGCAGACGGGTGAGCTCCTAGCACTGCTCCAATGACTCTTTCTGCCTCTTCCTGCCTCCCTCAGTCTGAAGACACAGGGCATGTGCTGCCGGCCCTCAAAGGGCTATGATTCACTGTGGTACCAGTAAGATGAAGGGTAGTGAGTCATCAGTCATCATGCCATTCCTGAGCAAGGGGCAGCCTTGGAGCTGACAGACTGCTGCACTCGCCCCCTCCCCCTCCCCCGCCCCTGTACCTCCTCAGTTATGTGACAAGCGCAGCTTTGGTTTGTCTATGCACAAGTGTCTATGTGTGTGCAGGTACATGCTATGCACATGTGTAGAGGGCAGAGGTCAACTTTCGGGATCATTCCTCAGGAGTCATCCACTTTGGTTTTTTTAAGATGGGGTCTCTCATTGGCCTGGAGCTCGACAACTTGGCTAGCCCGATGGGCCAACAAGCCCCAGGGATCTGCCTGTCTGCCTCTGCAGTGCTGGGATGATGAGTGCATGCTACCTTTGCCTGGATTTTTATAAACGTGGGTTCCAGAGACCAAACTTTGCTGACTAGGTTTTCTTCTCAGACCAAGATAGTGAACAATTCTCAGATAGTGAACCTGCGGCCTAGAAGGGCTGGCCTTGGGTTTTCAGACAGGTGCAACTCCAGTGACAGGGTGGCGTATCTATAATGTCCAGCACGTCTCTAGGGGGAGAGGAGAGAGGGCAGCAAGTCCCAGCTGTATGGGCTTTAGGGGACCCTCCCAGGTAAGACCCCTGCAGAAGGAGCCGATGGAGAGGCTTCAAACCTGTTAAGATTTCCCTCTTTCTCTCAACAGTGGGTGGGATGACAACGGAGGATGCTGGGAAGTGACCAGAGAAGCCTGCTCAGCTGGCCCAACTCCAGCTGGGTTACCTCACACAGATGACTTCTCTCTGACACTCAGTTCCTCTATCTGTGCAATGGGTTTATAGCTCATTTGCAAGGCTACTGGGAGGGCCAGATGCAACAACACTGTAGTGGAAAGGGCCGTGTCTAGTGTGACTGGAATACAGAGTAAGTCAGTACCTGAGGACAGTGGCACCCACGGACACAGCCAATCTTGCTGGATGCCCACCTGGCCTGTCCTAACTGATCATCACCCCTGGGAAACTGCTGGCATGGCTACAGGGCAAAGCCGAGGCTTTTCTCTTTTCATCTTTCTTTCAATCAACAGGAGCTGGTTAAGCAGAGGTCTTCTGGCCAAGCCTTGGCTCTCACCTGCACAGCTACAGACGGCTGGCATCCGCTTAGTGCTCACAAAGAGGCACAGCCAGTCAATTCTCACACAGGCTTTCCCCCAACGTGTGAAGCAGGAGGTGCTATCAGCAACCACTTTTAAATATATAAACAGGGAAACCGAGGCACAGAAAAGTCAAGTCACCTGATGGAGGTTACACGGAACTAGGATTTGATCCCAGGACATCGGTATAATCATGAGTACAACCCCCTTGAAATTGAAAATGTATGATAATTTGTTAGCAAGCCAGGCAGAAATATCTACTTCTTGATAAAAGTAGAGACTGTCTTCTACGAAAATTAGTAAAACTCATCTAAGACCATGTTTACTCTTGGTAAAAATAACAGCTGGGAGTAGGTTAGGATCCCAAGCACTCCAGGGACTGAGGCAAGAGATCACCATAAATTGAAGGCCATCCTGGGCTACAGATGAGACCCTGTGTCAAAAATTAAAATAACAGGGGAAGCATCTCTTTTATGAGCAACTTTTGTGTCCTAGGGTTTGTGCTGGGTATGCTACATTTTACCAGCAATCTACCAGGTAGATACCACTCCTGCCATTTTACGGATGAGCACAGCTCTGAGAGGTATAACAAATCTTCCCCTAAATTGGGTGTGTGCTGTGTAGTGATACGATGTTCCCTATCAATGAAATGTATTGCCTGTGATCACCCCATTTTAAAGAGCATTGAAGCCCGGCATCACATGGCATATCATAGCTATAGCATGATGCCCCCCCCCCCCCGCCCCAGGTCCTGACATTCAAGCATGACCACTAAGCCTGAGGTCACATTTCCCTACATAAGGTGGGTCTGCAAGAGGCTTGAGTAGTGGGGCTTCGGGGTTTCTTTACATGGGGCTATAATTTGTATTTACTAATTAAAAAATTATTGGTGTGTGTGTGTGTGTGCTGTGTGCTTGTGTGCATACTGTGTGTATGTGTGGGTGCACATGTGTCACAGAATGCATGTGGTGGTCAGAGGGCACCTTGCTGGAGTCAGTTTTCTCCTTCTACCAGTGGGTCCCAGGGATCGAACTCAGATCGTCAGGCTTGGTAGCAAGCACCTTTACCCACTGAGCCACCTCACCAGTTCTGGCACTATAAAAGGCTCGCACCTTCAGCATACAGCTCAATTAACTTTCGCTTGTTTCACCACCACCACCGAGTTTCCTCGGGCTCCCTTCCAGACTCTACTCCACTGATCCTGTCTCTAGCACCATAGTTTTGCCTGGTTCAGAATGCCATGTACATGGGACCGTGCAGAATGTGCTAGTGTGGCTTCTTTCACTTAGCGTTTTGGATATGAGCTTCGTTATGTGGGTCACATATCACTCATTTCCTGTTTTGTTGTTGGGTAGTACTCCACTGAGCACATTCAGTACTGGTGTTTTGTGTAAGCTCCTGTAAGAAGCAGCAGGATTCTAAGTGTGGGCAGCCGGTCTGGGACTGAATAAAATGGAGAGAGCGAGCTGAGCACCAGCCTTCGTGTCTCTCTTCCCCTCTCTGCTTCTGGACTGTGGATGTGATGTGACCAGCTGCCTCACGCTCCTGCCACTGCGACTTCCTACCAGGACAGGCTGTACCCTCTTATTGTGAACCCCAAAAAAGCCTCTCCTTCCTTAGAGCTGGAAGAGTAATGGATACCGGTGCAGTAGTATCCTGTTGCCTTGTGAGTGGAAAAGGGAGCTCTGAGGGCGAGGTAAGGCCACGGAATCCCGGGGCTCTTCCTGTGAAGACCGCTGGCTGGGATGGCTAGGGAGAGGTGGCTGGTCTCACCCACTGACCTGACTCGCATGCCCTGGAACATCTCGGTGCTGGTGTGAAAGGGCAGCACGGTGGTGGCGTTGACACCGGGACAGTCCAGCAGCCCCAAGGTCAGGCTCTCCATGAAGGCAAAGGCCGATGCTTTTGACGTGCAGTAGTCGATGGCGCCAGGGATGGCCGACAGCGCAAGCACGGAGTTGAGACACACGATGTGGCCGTTCTGCAGCTCCAGCATCCGTGGCAAGAAGGCCTTGGTGGTCTGAGGGTGGGTAACAGAAGTCAGTGTGAGCAGCAGAGCCTCTGCCAAGCCCAGCACCCCTGCACTGGGGAGAACAGCCCGCTCAAGATGCATAGCTACCCTAGTGACTTAGTCTTCGGTATGGAGGGGCTGAGGCCTCCCTGCTGCAGAGCACTATGCTAGCCAGTCAGCAGTTCCTGTGTTTCCCTGTCAGTCATTTCTTTTAACTAGCCACTTTGCCACTGAACATCCCGGCTAGCATAAGCCCTGGTCCCATCGGACCTCTCTTTCCCCCACCCCACCCAGGCTTCCTGTCATGCTTACGGCTGGCTCTGGACCAGGAAAGCCCTTACCCAGAATTGGCCCAGGGTGTTGACGTGCTGGGACTTGAGGAGGGCATCATCATCACTGTCCATCAAGCTCTTTCCATGGACCACAGCAGCATTGTTCACCAGGATGGTGATGTCACCCACCTGTGGGCAAGAGGGGGCTGTGGAGCCGTGAGGGCAGCCAGTCCCTGTGGGCTGTACCTGTAGGGGCACAGACCAGGCTCCGCAACCACCAGCCACATGGCCTTTCTGAGCATCAGTCTTGTTTATAAATGGCGCTGGTGCCATACCAGCTGTGTCTGAGGATTAGAAATAATTTATGGTACATACTATACCCGGAATGCAGCATATTTATAATAAATGAAGTTATGGTCACATAAAAATGGTTAATGTTACCATGAGTGGGCTATGTAATAGGGTGAATTCTTTTTCTCTCTTGGAGCTCATTGATCTACCCAGCCCAAATGTTTTGCATTAAGGAAAGGATTCTCCCAGAAGGCAATGGGACATTTGTCTTAGAGAGAAACTCATAGGGTCTAAATGTCCAAGGGACCACAGAGGTCTACTCTTTTTGTGTTATCAACTCCAGTCCCTGCCCAAGTAACTTGGACAAGCTTCGTGGAGAGTCCCCAAAGGTGCCCTGCACAGAGTCAGTCTGCCATAGCAACACTCCCTCCCAGGACGCATGAATTCGGTATGCTGGGGCCAGACATGCCCAGGTTACTCACCTTTTCTCGGACAGCTTTGGCCATTTGGTACACCTCTTCCCGGTTGCCCACATCACAGATGAAGTAGTGGCACTCTGTGCCCATCTGCCGAATCTCTTCTGTTGTCTCTTTCAGGCATTTCTCAGTCCTGCCCCAGAGAACAATCTGGAAGGGAAGAAAACCAGTATTGAACAGGTGGTTTTGAAACAAGCTTTATATAATGATTGATGCCAGAAATTCAGAACTTTTTTTTTTTTGGTTTTTTGAGACAGGGTTTCTCTGTGTAGCTTTGCGCCTTTCCTGGATCTCACTCTGTAGCCCAGGCTGGCCTTGAACTCACAGAGATGCCCCTGGCTCTGACTCCCAAGTGCTGGGGAAATTCAGGATTTTAATAGTCTTTAAAATGCTGGCTTCCTTGACTCCATCCCAAAATGAAGTACCCAAAGCAAATTAACTGAGTTTTAAATAAAAATATTAATTAATTTTTTTTTTTTTTGTGTGTGTGTGTGTGTGTGTGTGTGTGTGTGTGTGTGTGTGTACCACAGGGCACGCCTGTGCATGGGTGGAGGTTAGAGGACAACTTTTAAGAGTTGATTGCTCTTTCTGCTGTGGATAGGGATCAAACTTAGGTTGTTAGGACTGTATTTACCTGCTGAGCCATCTCGCTAGCTGTCTTAGTTAGGGTTCCTATTGCTGTAATGAAACACTGTGACCAAAAGCAATTTAAAGGGTTTATTCAGCTTACAGTTTCAGGTAACTAACAGTCCATCACTGAGGGAAGTCAGGATGGGAACTTACTCAGGGCTGGAACCTGGAGGCAGGAGCTGATGCAGAGGCCGTGGAGGGGTGCTGCTTACTGGTTTGCTCTCAAGCTTGTTTGTCCTGCTTTCTTATAGAACTCAGAACCACCAGCAAAGGGGTGGCATAACCCACGATGGGTTGGGCCCTCTCCTAGCAATCACTAATTAAGGAAGTGTCCTACAGGTTTGCCTACAGACTAATCTTATGAAGACATTTTCTCAATTGGGGTTCCTGCCTCTCTGATGACTCTAAACTGTGTCAAGCTGACATAAAATTATCCAGCACAGTGACTAACAATGAGGGTTTTTTTAATTTAATTTTTACTTTTAGTCTGTGTGTGTGTGTGTGTGTGTGTGTGTGCGCGTGCGAGCACATTCATGGGTACAGGATCCAGCAGAAGCCAGAAGAGGGCATCAGATCCCCTGGAGCTAAAGTTACAGACTGCCCAATACGAGTGCTGGGAACAGAACTCAGGTCCTCTGGAAGATCAGTAAGTGCTCTTAGCCACTGAGCCGTCTCTGGGCCCCAACAAGATTTTAAAAGGGACATCATCTACTCTTAAGCGAGGCAGCTGTTTCTGAGCACATTTATGACCAGTCAGCTGGTATGTTAAGTTCAAGTCTTTCTGATATATTCTTCCCAGCAGGACACTTCCTGCCAGCCCAGTTCTAGCCTTTTCCTTGATTCTTAGAAGCAATAGAAAAGCTTTCTGTTCTGTACACTATTCTAGAATGTTTTCTGTTAGGAACCAGCTGGCCTTCTCACCAATTATGTTTAGAGCTGGGATTATTCCCACCAGCCACTAGGAAGGATGGGATCACATTCTCCCTCTACAAGGCCTTGGAGGGTTTCCAGCTTACGGTGGTCACACTGGGAAGGAAGGATGCAGGAGGGACAGGCTAGAGACAGTAAGAGCCCTGCTGAGAAGCAAGGGCTTCCTTACCCAGCAGGTAATGAGTGTAGGAGTGACCCAGTGACCTTGACAGGACCTGTAAGTGGGTGCTTAGAGGGGTTTGGCAGATGTATGACTGGACCACAGGATGCTGGGAATTGAAGCCTGGCCAGTCCTTAGCCTTAACCTGAAGGAGGACAATACATCTCCCCACCCAAAAGAGCCCCAGTTTGGGTGCTTGGAGAGCTAGCTGTCCTGAGGTGCAGCTTTATGGTACAGAGGTAGAATCACGGCATTCAGGTAATTCAGCACAAGAGAGGCGAGGCTCCAGCAAGGGTCTGGGGTTCTTTCCTTTTTAAAGATTTTCTTTTCTTTTCTTTTTTTAAATCTTGTGTATGTGTGTGTGCCTGATGTAGGTATGTGCACCCCATGTAAGCCAATGCCTATGAAGGCCAGACGAACATGTGATCCCCTGGAACTGGTTACAGGTGATTGTGAGGCTCCATGTAGGTGCTAGGAACTGAACCCGGGTCCTCTGCAAGAGCAGCAAATGCTCTTAACCCCTGAGCCATCTCTCTAGCCACAGATCTATGCTTCTCTTCTCTTTAAAATCATCAACGAGGGGCTTGATGTCACTCTGAACCCCTGTGGTTTTCTTAGCATATATAGGTGTGCACAGGGGTGCATCAAAAGGGGCCTGGGTGCTCCATGCTCTTGCTGGTTCTTGGATGTCTAGAGACAGTCAGGGTCTAAAGCTTGCTTGCCATGGTCTGCTCAGAATATTTGCAATCAAGAACTAGGGAGATCCGCCCTGTCAACTGGGCTGGAAGATGGCCCTGGAGACAGGGATAGCTGTGGTCAGGAAGGTGGGATGAAGGCTCATGTGCACTGTCTCCTGTGAGTAGGCAAAGACCACAATCAGAACCCTGGTCCTCTTGAGGTCACCCCTTGTGGACTGGTAGAGTGGCTCTACTTCTCTCCCTGGTACCATGGCCAAGTGTTTCTATAAACCTGGAGTCCCCAGAACCCAATTCTGTTCTATTTATTTTAATATCTCAGTGCCTACCAAAGCACATGTTGTCTGTTGGATGAATGAATACATTAAGGGCCACAATTGGGACAGCGTGGGTATTAAACTACCTCTCAAGATTGAAAGACTGATTACCCATCCTCTGCGGCTGAGCTAATTGCAGCCCCAGAACCTTTCATATGAGTCTCTGTGGACTAGGAGTCAGCGGGACCTGGGGTTTCCTAGAGTACTCAACCCAGGAAGGCCGAGCTGAGGGGAGGCCTGGAGCGTGCAGACAAGGAGCTAGCCATGGTTCTGGGCAAAGGTGCGCTGCAGGGGTAGGCGCATCTCTCTGGGCAGATCTCTGTGTGTGCTGTTTGTGTGTCTGTGTCCGTCAGTGCTAGTACCTCCAAGCCCGTCTGAGAGTGTCCCTGTGTGTCTGTGAGTATAAGTTTGCATCTGTGTGTCTTGAATGCATGTGTATCTATGAGTTCACATCTGTGGATGTCTGTGTGCCTGTGAGGATGCTCTGTGTGTATGTATCTGTGAACATGTGTCTATGAGCCAGCATCTGTGAATAGGCTCCACGAGTCTTGCATCTGAACATAGGTGTGCTTCCGTGAATGTGTGCAATCCTACGCGCTTGTGTCCCCAGATCCTCTGGTGGATGGATGCACACAGGTCTTTGGATAGGACACTCTATGTCCATCTGTCCTTATGAGTCAGCCTGCATCTCTGTGGTGATGGTGGCTCCAGTGTGGTATGGGAGAGGGCTTGAAGGCACAGGGTGAAGCTGCTCTAGTGAGAGGCTCCTTCTGGAGTCCTGCCTGGCTCTCGGGGAGTGTCCCTGAAGGGTGCGATACATGCAGAAAAGTTGCCCAAATGGCTCTGCCACAGTCCCCCGAGTAACCACAAGTGTTGAGGGGTCCTGCCCAGGACCAGGTGGAGATGAAGGTGGCAGGGAGAGGCGAGGTTTGAGGGAGAGCAGATAGGACCCCAGGGAAGGAACAGCCCTGGAAACTGGTTCAGCCTCCTCTTAATTCCCTGGTTGGCCAGCTGGCACAGTCAGGCTAACCTAAGCTCATGAAGCCAGGATTGGTGTCTCCACACCTCTTGGCTTCCAATCTTCTGTGAGGTGAGACAGTGGGCTTCTGTCCCCTGCCCCTCTCAGGTGAGCAGGAGGAGGAGGGAGAGGGCCTTGGCCCCGGGTATGAACTGTCAAGCCAGGCCTGCCCCGGATATGAACTGTCAAGCCAGGCCTGCCCCGGATATGAACTGTCAGCCAGGCCTGCCCTGGGTATGAACTGTCTGTCAGCCAGGCCTGCCCCAATTTGCCTTACTGGCATCTACGGGTCTCAGCAGCTGAAGCCCTCCTCATCCTCTGCTTTCGAGACTTACATCCCCCACTTTCTGTACTTGGGAACTGAGGCTCAGTTAATTAAGTCAGATGTCCAGTGTCGCACCTGGTGGGAGATGGAGGTGGGATCTGAACCCAGGGTCTACTATCTGCAGGTGCAGCCCTGAGGCATGGCAGCATAGGTTAAGCTTTGAAGACCCAACTCCAAATCCATCCAGTGCCGGTGTCCATTCCTGCCCCAAAGCTCTCCTTGGGTCTCATCTAGCTTGGTGTCTCTACCAGAACCTCATCCACCTACCTGCCAGGGCTAGAGAACCTGCTATGGGAAGAGGCTATGGGCTGAGCCCAGTGCTGGGACCTAAGAGAACAAAAGAGACACAGTTCCCACCTCAGGAGCCCATCCCAGGAAGGAAGGTTGAGGGCTTGAGGAAGCATCAGTCTCAACCAAGGGGAAGAGGACAAGGAAGAAACCTGGTACCTGGGGGAATGTAGGAGCTAGCCATACTGTGACTATGCACAGAGAAGCAAACTGGCTCAGAGAGGCTAAGCACCTTGTCCGAGGCCACACACACTGAGCGACAGAGCTGGGGTTTGAACATCGGTATTGTCTGGCTCCAAGCACAGGCAGCCAGTGACAGCTGCTGCCCTCTCTCCTCAGTTCAATCCCCAGCACTACTGAAAACAAGAAAAAACTGTGTCTGTCCCCTTCCAAGGTCCTGAGGGGACTCAGCCCGGAGCTGGTGCCCACTGAGTGTCCTGCGGGCTCGCTCTGCTGGGATTTCCCTGGGAAGGAAGGGCAGACAAATCACACATCACCCTCGACATACGACAGTCACTCAAAGAACTGGTGTGTTATGGCCAGGAAAGAAGTTCAGGATTCAGGGTGCAAACAATAGAGAGGCAGCAGCAATGGATAACCCAGAAAAACCTACCCCTGACCCCTCAACAGGTCAAGGAAGCAAGGAGCTTCAGAGGGACCCCAGAGGGAAGGCCTGGTTACAGGGAGAGTCTCTAGCGAACAAAGGTGACTGATGATCTTAGAAACCAGGGGCTGGTGAGCTGGCTCAGCTGGAAAGAGATGGCTCTTGCTGGTTACCAAGTCTGAT